AAGCCTTAAGATTCTATGTTAGTTCACATGGTGGTAGTTACATAAATCTATAAATGTGTTAAAATTAATAAATTGTACACCAAAAGGAAGTCAATTTTCCTGTACGTTAATACAGAAAATGCTGTAACCAATAAAGCAAATTAACAAACCTCTATTGATGTATAGGTGCCTATGACTATGAATGCTGAGTTTTGAATGGAAAAAATGCTACAGGAAATATATGCATCTTTAATGCTGATTACTTCTGGGGAGGGGCAAAAATGATCAATTTTTTTGTGCATTTTTAAAATTATTTCAATTAGTATGTAGTAAGTTTGAAATTTGAAAAACATCTACTGCAAATGGAAAGTACCAGGAAAGGCATTTAAAAAGAAGAAAAAGAGTATTTCTGCTTTATTGAGTACCTTATGATATGGTAGCAAGCAAGACAAATGCACCTCCATTCTTGTGGAGCACAACCTGGTACAGTCCAGTCCTCACCTCTTACAAATGGTTCATCTGCAAAATGTGTCTAAAAAATAATTTTTATAAGGATAAATATTTAATACATGCTTGAAACAGTGCCTGGCACAAATGAATAAATGTAATGCAAGCTGCTATCTATATATCATCTGTGAATTGGGAGAATAATTGCCATCACATTATTGTGATTACACAAAAATGCCTGTCATGTAACAGGGGCTCAGTAAATGTCAGTTTCCTTAGCGTTTGGAGCCTGGATACTGGGATGTGGGGCAAAGGGTAAGGGTATATCCCTGAGTTGGCTCTTGTGTTTTCTGGGTTTCTTCAATTTTCTGTTTCTCTTGGCCTTGCTATCTTTCTAACTTCAGGGAAGCCTCTCCCTCCTTCTCCTCCCCAAGTTGACCTATCACTCTCCCTCAGGACCTAGGCACAGGGCGTGTCCCTCTTAGGCTGATACTTGACTCCTTGCCTACATCTAGCTTGGCACAGAGGGACATTCATAGCCTTAAGAGTGTGGGTGAGACATACACAGCGTTGTTGGACCTGCAGGTGAGCCCAGCCTGGGGGAAATGTGACCTCAGAGCAGAGCAAAATTTGAAAGGTTTTGGAAAGGAGGCAGCCCTGCAAGGCATAAGGGATTTTTAAGGGGATTGAGAGGATTGGGGGACATACCCGAGGATGAGTGAAATGGATACTTAAATTCTACCTCTTTCTCTAACCAGGCAGATGGCCTTTCTTCAGACCAATAAGGATCTCATTTCCACGGGAACAAAGGAATTTAATGCTCTGCTGAAACAACAGGTAAGTCCAGGCACTCTGTTTCAAAGGACAGGCCTGGAGACTGGGAGTGTGGGGAGGCTGTGGGGGATAAGGGAAGAGAATACAGGATAATTTGGAGCTGGGAGGTAATGGTGGAGTTGACGGAAACCATTAGAAACAGGGAATACAAATCAGAGGAAAGAGGATGTGAGAGTTTGTGGGACTGTTCTGGGTATTCCGGAATCGGGTTGCTGACCACATTCTCCCTTGCCAACTCACCCTATCCTGATCCCCCAGGTCTTTAATGATCTTCTTGTCTCTGAAGAAGCCATGGTGACTGTGGTGGATGATTGGATAAACTTCTACATCAACTATTACAGGCAGCAGGTGACAGGGGAGCAGGAAGAGCGAGACAGGGCTCTGCAGCAACTTCAGCAAGAGTTGAACACTCTGGCCAACAATTTCCTGGGCAAATATAGGGCCTTCCTGAAGTCCCAGGAGCACCAAAATCACCCGTAGCCTTCCTTCTAGCCCAGAGACCCAGGCCTTCATCTCTAAAAGACTCTTAAATTCTGGCTCTGTGTTCTTCATGTCCCCAGGCTGTGCTCTTGGTGTTACTCTGCCTTGACATCTCAATAAAGACCAGTACTGGTTTTGCTGGACTCCCTGGCTCTTCTTTCATTGTCTGTCCTGAATTGTAGTGGCAGTGGGTCCATTTTACTTCAGCCTTCCTTCTCAGGTATGATCTTGGGGCTTAATTCCTTACAGCAGAGATTAGCAGCTCTAAGTAACTGTTAGGGAGTACTAACATAGGCCGAACAAGGGGCTGGGCAGGCAGGGACTAAAGAGAAAGTGCTGGGGCAAGGGGGTGGTAGAAAAGAGAAAGGGATAGAAGGGATAGAGGGATAGAAGCCCTCCCGAAATTGTCCTGTGACATACTTGTCTAGGAGAAAACTGTTGGAAGTCTTCCAGTCTTGTTCACCCTGTGCCAGGTCCACTGCCTGGATTTTTCAATCCCCTGCCCTTAGCCCCAGCTCAAACGTTTTAGCTAGGATCTTCTGATTCTGATTCTAAGACTACCACAGAGTACCTCCCCGAGTATCTCAGTAATTTAGAGTTGGAAAGGATTTTGGAACCATTTGGCACGTCCCTTATATTTCAGGTGGGGGAACCCCTTATCTTTGGCTCCACCAAGGGTCCCAGAGACCAGGATTGGGAAGCAGAGAAACCAGCTTCCCCGCTGCCCCAACCTTCTCCTGTCACTTCCCGGACTAGACTTCTTTTTTCTTAGACCTCCACACTCTAAACCTCTTTATTTTAGGGCTCTGGGTGGAACCAGCGCCGGCCAGGCTCAGTACATTTTTCAGAAGGGTGTCAGGCCGGCGGGGCTGACTTCACAGACAGCCTCGGGGCACAGAGGAGGCGCGCTGGGGGCGGGGCCGCGGGACGGGGGCGGGGCCAGGAGGCGGAGCGCACCAATCAGATGCGGGGCAGCGCGCTTGCGCGGGCGCCCGGGAAGGCAGTGGGCGTTCTCCTGGCGGCCTTCTGTGTTCTTTCTTCAGCCGGGGAAAGAAAAGTTTGGGGGTGAGAGAGATTGTTCCCTCGCTCCAACCTCCAGCAGGCTTTCCCCTTGGGTCTGTGAACCTTCACCTCCGACTTTGTCTTTTGGGTCTCTGCAGTTTGGATCAGGGTGAAAAGGGAACCAGCTCAGTGTCCCCAGTCATCCTTCCAACCATGGGGTGTGCAGAGGCCTCAGACCCAGCCTGAGAGTGGCGGCCTCCCAGGGAAGCAGGCAGCGAGCACCTCTGAGCTGTGGTCTGTGGCCCAGGCAGAGGCCGGGGCCTTCCCACTGCAGTCCTCAGGAAATCTCAGTCTGTTAATGGGAACCCAGGGCCGGCTCAGTGAACAGCCAGACAGTGAACAGCCTCGCCTTTGCAAAAAGACCTGTGCATGAGCGGAGGAGAGTGACTTAGGGACTATATGAAAAAAGTACAGTCTTCCCTCTTATGGGTACCCAAACCCACGGATGTTCAAGTCTCTTGTATAAAATGGTGTATGTAGTATTCGCATATAACTATCGCACGTCCTTCAGTATACTTTAAATGATCTCTAGATTACCTATAATACCTAATACAATGTAAATGCTATGTAAATAGTTGTCATACTCTATTGTTTAGGGAATAAACACAATGACAAGAAAAAAAAGTCTGTACATGTTTAGTACAGAAGCAACCATTCATTTCTTCCCCCAGATATTTTCCATCTGTGGTTGGTTGAATCCACAGACCCAAAGATATGGGTGGAACCCAAAGGTATGGAGAGCTCATTGTATTTGAGTTATTCTGTTGGGTTGTGTAGCTTAGCTGAAAAGAATGGTCGGAAGCCACTTTGGCTCAACTACTGAAGACGAACTTCCCGTAAATTTAGAACTATCCAGCTTTTGGAGCTGTTTAGTTAATCATTCCTCATGTGCTCCGACAAAGGAAGATGATCAATTATCAGGTATGTGGTAGAAAATATTCTTACAATGGTTGGGAAGTTCAACATCTAAACTCCATTCCATAAGCTTGCGAAATCAAATAGTTGTAAAAAAATATTTTTAGGACAAAAAAATCGAACTGAACTTCCTGTTCTTACATTCCTTTCACCCAAGTGCCTGGTTGGAAATCTACAAGAAGTAAAATCTGGAATAGTTTTATTTTTCAGAGATGGTGGTATGAACCATCAGGATCCTCACACTGACATTGACCCTGACCCTGGGACTGATCCTGAACTTGAGCCTCACCTTTAACCTCACCTTATCCCTGACCATGATGGACACCTTATCCTCACCATGACCCTGACTTTCATACTGACATTGTCTCTCATTCTCAACCTTACACTGATCCTGATGCTAAACTGGGCCCTAAACTTTACCTGACTCTTAACTTTCACCCTGACTCTGACCTTGATCCTCAACCTGAATCTTACCCTGACCATTACTCTGAAATTGACCCTCAATGACCCTTCCATAACCATGACATTGATCCTGACCCTCACCATGACCCTGACGTTGATCCTCAAATTGACCTAGATACTGATCATAACCATGATTCTTGACCCTGAAGTGTATACTCTCATCCTTTACTCTGATACTGCCCTGACCCTCACTTTCACCCAATTCTAACACTTACCTTCCCCTTGATCCTGAAGTGACCATTTCTCTGACCCTGATACTCACCCTGACTGGAACTTGATGCTCACCCTGACACCAACTCTGATGCTCACTCACTTATGTGTGTGTCCCTCACGCTGCCTGTCAACCTAAATGTGACCTTCACATTAACCCTTCCAAAGACAATCTACATGATTCTGATCCTGGCTGTGACCCTTACCTTGGTTCTGACCCTCCTTTTTACCCTGAGCTTTACTTGACACTCACTCTGACTCTCACACTCTTCCATATCTCACTGTGATCCAAATTCTGATCCTCAACCTGACCCTGACCCTGACCATCGCCCTGACTCTGACTATGAAGCTCATCCTGACATTGATTTTAATTTGCATCTTTATCCTGATCTTGAAACTGTGCCTTACGCTGACCCAGACATTGACCATCATTCCTTTTTAAAAATTATTTTTCATAACTGTCAAAAACTTTTATATGTTTTTCATGTATAACATGATGTTTTGAAATATGTATGTATTGTGGTATGGTCAAATCAGGCTAATTAACATATGCATTACCTCACACACAATCTGGTGTGGGCTGACTGAGCTACTGCTGCTGCCACCGGCCACTCAGAGCCAACACCAAGTTTTTGACCAACGTGGGGTACAGGGTGCTGTGTCTTTTCCTTTTTTTTTTCTTCTATATCCTTACTGCCAGCAGGTGGGACTCAGAGATGCAGCCATCACCACCCAAAGCTTTCCAGGTGCCAGGACTGAGGCTGTGAGCTCCCTGGGTGCTTTTTGGCAGTGTCCCCCTCTTCCATTTTCCCCATCATGTGGGTAACTAACGGAGTAGTGGTGGAGTGCATGTCTCTTTCCAGTTGTAATTCTTCCTCTAATTTGCACACCTTGCTTTGGCTGCCAGCTGAGACTCTGTTGCCAGGCAGACTGCCCACAACAGAGGCCAGTCTATCCCCTCCACTAAGCATCAGCTTCCTTAAATCTTCTGTAAGGCTAGCCAAGTCTTCTGGAGCTTTTGGAGCATTTTAGTACTCCCAGGGCATCCCATAAGCATCAAACAAGTGGGTCACAGAGCCCCAAATAGATCCTGGCAGCCATCCTGCGATGTCCCAATAAGTCCCTCTCTTCCCCAGCTCATTTCTTTGGAATCCTACCAGCTACACTAATTGTTTCCTCCCATCAAATCCATGGCTAGAGTCTCCCCAAAGGTGGTAGCAGGAGAATTCCCATAAGGGAATGCCCCAAACCATCCTGAGATGGGGCTGGTTAAAATTCCAAAGAAAGAAGCACTAAACTCCATTGTTATCAGTTTGAAGCAATGGGAAACTTATAGAGTGCTGCAGCAATCCTCATGACAAATAGTGAGAGAAAAGTGATGTTCTACCTAGGTATGTCTGCAGCAAGGCAGTCAAGATATGGAGTTTATATGAAAGTTCAAGAAATTTGGGCCGGGCGCGGTGGCTCACGCCTGTAATCCTAGCTCTCTCAGAGGCCGAGGCGGGCGGATTGTTTGAGCTCAGGAGTTCGAGACCAGCCTGAGCAAGAGCGAGACCCCGTCTCTACTAAAAATAGAAAGAAATTAATCAGACAACTAAAAATATATAGAAAAAATTAGCCGGGCATGGTGGCACATGCCTGTAGTCCCAGCTACTCGGGAGGCTGAGGCAGGAGGATCGCCTGAGCCCAGGAGTTTGAGGTTGCTGTGAGCTAGGCTAACGCCACGGCACTCTAGCCCAGGCAACACAGTGAGACTCTGTCTCAAAAAAAAAAAAAAAGAAATTTGGCTCAAGGATGAGACTAGTTTCTTTCAGTGCTTTAGGAAACAACCTAGGCACCTTTATCAGTGCTTGGGAATGTTCGAGGCCCCAGTTTGGGTTCAAGCCTGCCGGGGAAAACCTGCAGTTGGCTAGGTCACAGAACAGTCAGGGCACTCTGTGATTTTTGGTGAGGACACACAAAAAAGTGGGGGAAACAGGGGGACCCTACAGAGCTTCTATATGTTCCCTGAAAGAGACTCATCTTCTGTAGCAACTGGGCTGAAATTACTGAAAATCAAATTCATAAACTCATCCTGTGACTGGCTGAATTACAAGTTGAACTCCCAGCCTCACAGGATGTCTACTGTTAAGGCGAGGGCATTCACTGGGAAACAATATGATTCTGCAGGTCGAAATGGGAACATGTGGAAAGGCCCTGATGATTTTGGTGTAATTGAGCCCTTAAATCCTGAAGAACCTCTTTGCCAGTGGAAATGGAAGATCCATCCCTAGCAGGAGAGCCTCTCCACCCCCAGCAGAGGTGGCCTTCCTGACCCCAGTGGAAGTGGATTCACTAGCCACAGTGGCAGC